CAACCTGAAATATCTTTCCTCACATTTTTCACATCCCAAATCTATTTTTCAAGGTCTAATTTAAATGCCACCTGCTCAAAAAGCCTCTGGATTTCCCCAGTCCAGAAAAACCACATCCTTTCCCAAACAACCTTTGAATTTGCATGTCACTGTACATATTTTCTGGCAACTAATCATATCTACATGCTCTTTTTTTGAAAGCTAAAGTCATGTTATCTATCTTTGTATCTCCCTTAGTATCTTTAACTGGAACACTATTAATATAGGGCTCAAATGAGACACTTAATAAATATTTGGTGAGTTGAATAAATGAATGAGAAAATAAACTCTAGGCATTTGTAAATATTAATATACAAGTGAATGTATCAATAGCTAAATACAATTAAATATCATGGCACAAAAGTCAAATCAATCTTAGATAATTTTGATGAAAATGGTAACTTTCAAAACTAAGAGTGTTTTATAAAGTATTGAAAGAATAGAGTAAAATATTCTTACATATTTTATGGGGTCTTTTTCTTCTCCAAGTACCTAAATGAACCAAACTATGAGACTCTGATTGCCATTCAAATTGGAATAATGGAGCAAACCATTGCTGTTTTAGAGAAGGTAGGTCTCAAAGGTATTGATCATTATAATCCCAACAGTTTTGAATTATTTGAACAAAGCCATAGTGTTCCAAGTCATGAATTCAAACAGAACCTAATAAAATCGTGGTCCATTATTGACATTCAGGATCTAGAGGTCCCTGAATAGTGTCTTTGCAACCATAACAAGTGTGGTAGACTGAAGTACTTCTTTTAATATTAGAATTAACCGCTTGGGAGATATCTGAGTGTACATGAATTTCCGATTTCACATTAAGTTGTGATTTATGTAACAGAAGTGTTGATAGTCTTTCTTGGGCTTTGTAAAGCCTTTGTTTTTTCATTACTGCTTAACAAATTTTGTTTTGTTATGTATATATGCTATACAAGCTAATCAGTTTAGCTTGTATAGCATATATAAGATGGAAACAAAGTAATCTCAAGGCTATGTATTTTTTAATCTCATTTTTAAGAATATATAAGATTTTTTCTAACATATATTAAAATACCATTCTATCTTTAAACAATTTAGTTAACTACTATATTCAGGCATTATGTTAGGCAATAGGGATATGGTGATAAGATGATATCTTGATAATAATGAATTTAAATTTAAAAAATAATGTCTTTGTAAAATGCTTTTTTTCAAAATTATTTTTGTGGGGTGTCATGGGAACAAAAATTTCAGACCCACAAAAAGAATGTGGAAAACTGCAAAAAACTACTAAAAAAACTGCGAAGGTACAGCAATCAAAAAGATGTAGCAAATTATACTCTAAGCTGCAATTTACGAGAAGAGTTGGTGGCTGTCTCAGAGAGAAAAGACATCTGTAATGCAATGGGTAAGAATATTTTTTCTTTACTCAACTGTAGGTTTCTTAAAAGTAATCACTATTCCTGAAATCTGGTCAGTAGTTACAAAGCTACCAGCATTTCTTCTACATGTTTAACTGATTCTGAGTGCTGTTTCTATATTTGAAAATATAGATAATAATCCAACTAATTCTTTTCTTCTTCAATTTTGGGGTAGGGTCTAAACTGACTTGTGAAAAAATTGCCAAAGAACGATATGAAAACATGATGCAACAACAAAAGTTAACAAATATTGCAAAACAACAAGCTGAACAGATTTCAATACTGCAGGCTGAAGTTGAACGATTAAGGATGAAAACATTTCCTGCTCTTGTTCAAATATAAAAATGCTGGTGGGAAACACAAGGCAATCAATCATTTAAAAAATAATTTCACTTTATTAAAATGATTTCTTTTTCTCCCATATCAGGATATTTAAGTAGAACTTCTTCTTAGTTGCATATTTTTAATAGCAAATTATTTAATGTCTATCTTAATCATTATAAAAATGTTTGTCTTGCATGAATGTGTAAAATATCATGAATTGTTTTCGTTCAAGAATGAACTGAAAATATTCAAGATGATTTTACTCATTTACTCATTTAGTCTTAATTTTTATCATAAAGACAAAAAACTCTTAGCCACTCCTGGCATTTCTAATTTTATAAAATTACCAGAAAACTTATGAGTTAATGGATGATTTTTATATTTTTCTATATTTCCCAAGTTTTCTTCAATAAGCATTTCTTCTATAATCAGAAAAAAAGTCTCAGAACATTAAGGATTATTGCCAATTCTAGCAATGAGAACAAAGTGAACTGTTTCCTTTTACCAAGGCTTAAACTGTTTGAAAAGTACAACGTATTTTTTTCTGCATAAACATAACATAGTCTTCTACATTGCATATTCATTGAAATAGATGATGATAACTAAATAATGAGAAGATTAAATGGTCAGGAAACTGCTTCCCCCTTCCATAGCCTGTGGACTGCTGCATTCCAAGATGATACCATTGGGATCCTTGACCACAATCTCCAAGGAATGTCATGGTCTCATTCTTCTGAAATTTGTGAATTAAATGTTAAGTGTAATCTGCAACAGCATATCTAGTGTGCATAGGTGTAGGTAAAGCAAGAGAACTATTATCATAAAACCTTCTAAAAAAAATCTTTAAGATATTTAAAATCTTCTAGAGACTGCTAGGGTAGTACCATAATTGATTACCCATATACTGATCAATGCTGGGTGGGAATGTAAGAGAAATAATAGGCCCAACATCACTTTTGATAGCCCTCCTTAGTACCAGAATGACTCCTCAAGTAGTTTATATGGCTGATTCAGCAGACAAGTGCCCACTGGTAACACTTCCTGCATCTCGGATCCTTCACAATTATCTCTGAGAAGGTGATTGTGGGGGTGGGAGGTTGGACCCAAGGGTGAAGTGTGTGAAGAGTACAAATACTTTGTACTTATGATGAGATTGTCAAAGTCCTTTGTCCTCTTGGTTTGAGTCAATCATGGTTCTACTAGGCTTTTTTTCTCTCCATTTTTTCTGGTGATATAAATTCTAGGTGACCAGGATTAGTTAGTTGCCTTATTAGGCTCCATTTGCTAATAGTCAATGCCACAAATTTCACCATGGATTCCTAGATCTTAACACCCTATTTAATTTCTATTTCTTGGTGGCTACCCTGGGTGACTCTGATAATTCAAGCTTTTTGCTTTGAGGCATAGATAGAGTGGAGGTTAGCAGGAATCTCCTGTCTGCAAGCTATATTCTACTAGCAGCGCCTTTCAACAGGAGACATCTTCTGGTTTTGGGGGTTGGCTTTTGAAGGGCACATGGGTCATCTACCCCAACCCACTCTAGATATTGTCCATGGTACTGATTCCTCTTACCTTCTGCTGAACTAACAGCAATTATATTTTTATAGTTCTTTAAATTATCTATATTATCAAGTAGTAATATAATTAACTGGGTCAAATATAGCATGGTTCTTAGTAGGGCTCTCTTGCTGAGTTGCCTGGTTTCAAATCTTGGCTCTGCCACTTGAGCTTTAAATAACTATTTAGTTTTTAAATAATTACTTTATCTTAAATTTCCTCATCTTTAAAATGGGATGCCGATAATTTTAACACTCAAATGAGTTAACACACTTTTTAAACTGGCACAAAGCAATGCTAAGTGGTAGCTTTCATTTTTATGAATAAAAATATAGTATTCAGTGATTTTTAAAATAAATGTATCCCATTAAATAGAGGTGAAATTCAACAGAAATTATAAAAAAGGGTCCTGCCTCATGGGCATCTTGGGCATCAAACTCTCCCATAAGCCTGATGCATGTTCCATGACCCACCTCCCGTTGCAGGAGTATCCATTGTGCTGCTAGAGCCCTAAACACCCAGCTAGTGCCTTGGAAATGCCCATTACTATGTCCCCATCTGCTCTCCCCAACTCTCCCAGAACTAGAGTCCCACTGATGCTATAGTTCCTCCAAGTGGAAATTCGAGGGTGACTCCAGGGGATATGCTAATCAACAGTAAGTAGCTGCAGCCAAATACCGGCACCATCACTAGGGAAACCACTTCCCATGCCACATTTAGGTTTTCTAGCTGTGTAGCGAGCAGCAATGGAGGCTGATAGGCTCACAACAGCACAGGTCCCTAGGGATACCCACCTAGGAATCTCAGGGTCAGGGGAGGCCCATGTGAATCCTGGGTCAGTCCTCCTGGGGTCATGGCAGCTAATGACAATGGCAGTGTCTAGAAGGTAGAATTTGTGTGTGTGGTGACACGGGGGTGTGTGGCAAGGGGGAAGGGTAGTACCAGCATGGACACTAACAATTAGAATGGATGCAAGAGCAGGGTCCTAAGGTCTCCTGCTATGCCAAATATTAATGGTCTGTTAGATCATGGGGCGGAACTGGGCCAAAAATGGGGTGCACCTGGAGGAGGGGCCTCAGGGTAGTGGCTATTTATCTACTAGTAGGGAAATACGTTCAGGATTTTTTTTTTTTTTAACTAAGTAAAGCTGTTTTAGCCCTTAAAAGGACCCAAAAGCAGAAATCCAGAAGGCCCTCAGGAAGGACTGGATAATAGAACCAGGAAGCCACTGATCCACAAAGCTCTCTCTCCATCTAACATCTTTGCCTTTCTTAGTAAGGGCACATACTATCCTTCTTAGCACACCAGCTTTTCTGCTTCCAAACTTACCTACAACAGCTTCAGTCACAAAAAGAGATGGGCTTTCTTTTCCTGAGCACAATTCCAATTCTCAGACTGGGCCAGCTTGGGTCATATCTCTGTATAAAGCCCCAAGGACAGGTAGCATTGTACAATATAGCAGCCAGAAACACAACCCTATGAAGGTGGTTTTCTGGCTGAGGAGTCACTATGAACTGAATAGATGCAGCTAGAAAGCTAAACAAACGTGAAGGACCTTGTATACCTTGAAGTGGGGGATGAGCATATGTTGTTTTTAGAGATAGATGGCGATTTCACTAAATGAGATGAAGAATACAATAAACAAATTTGAAAAGACAAGGAAGAATAAAATTTTGGACATATGAACAACTTTAATTACCTGCTACAACCATGCAGAAGGAAGTATGTGGTAAATGGATAAAAACACGGTTCATAAACTTAGGAGACAGGCAGGCATTTTTAGACCACTTCAGGTTTAGACATTAACCAGACTGAAGTATTTTTTAACATTTAAAATAAAACCTTAAAAAAAAAATAGAACTTTTTTACCACAGTAAACAAAACAATGTATTAAATTTGACTTCCAGAAATGACCAAATTATTTTTTAAACATGATTTAATTTTTTTTCACATTTCTTTAAATGTCAAGTTTTCTTTGGCAAACTTATCCAAAATATTAAATTTTCATTTTAGAACTTATTTTATATTTATATACCAGAGTGCCCTAAATTGATATTCATCAAGATACCTTTCTCTAGGCCCTAATGGCTTCTACCTTCCTTTTAAAATGTATTATCTTTTAAGTTGTCATTCTCAAAAATATTCTGGAAAAAAAATTATGAATTAAACACCGATAAACTCTTCTTCATTTCTGTTATAGTGTAGTAATTTATCATCTAACCCACAGTGGTCTATCAGCTGAGTAAGGCTGAGTTTGTTGTTCTCTTCAGACATAGCTGACTGCAACTCATAAAGCAACAGCTGGCTACAGCTTCTCCACTTCTGTATTAACATCTGTAACTGAGACAGGTCATTCTGAAATAGGAAAAAAAAAATAGGTCAATAACTAGCTAGGCATCCTATTTTAACTTACTTAATGAAAGTTGTTAAATTAGTAAATGAGTAGGTTTAAAGGGTAACACACTTGGGTCAAGATTGGGACTTCTACCCAGGAAAAAGGAGGATGGTTTTAAGTAGAATGGTTACAATGACCCTCAAATTGAGTTCTATGGCTATTTTGTTTGGTCCAACCTCTGGACCATCCTTATCCTCAGGGACAAATCAAATCATCATGAAATAGGGCAAAACTATGTAGAGAAGCAACAATAGGTTAAAACAAAACGAAACGCTTTTTCTATGATAGCTGTACTTTTAAAAACTGAAAATATTCAATATAAATAAAATATAAGAAATATAAATTAAAATATTCAACAATATTTTTCAACATTCACTATCTCCTAAGACCCAAGTCGTTATATTTAGAAAAGTCCTAAAAATTGAAGACAGCAAATAAGATCTACTATTCCCCCATTTATACCACATTCTGGGGAAGGAGCCACTACATAGTCATGAATGATCCAGGTCAGTAAAGGTTATCTTCTTCCAAGTGCCCAGCCTCTACTTAATTCAACCTATCTGGGTTGAAATCTAAAAATCTAATTTATATTTGTTGCTTTATCAAACAAAATACCTGTTGTTTTATCAAATTAAAATACCATTTTAATAAGTTGGAAGAACACAAGACTATTACTAAAAATATTTTTTATTGTACTTTGTGGCCCATTTTTAGCTTTTTTAATCAGTCACTGGCAGCTGTCACTTTTGTTCTCACTGTACTTGGCATCTATCATTTGATATTAATATTGCTACACGCTGGAAACTGGAGAGAAAAATTTCAACTGCATATTAAATGAGAGCTGGGACTTTCTAAAGTTGTATCTGGTGTTTAGGGGCCTCTTCTACTCTAAATCTATGACTTACATTTGAGTTACAGTTGTTGGAAGCCAGGTTTCTCGATAAATGGCTTATTGCTTATTATGTCTAAATAAACTTATTTTCTCTTGGAAATTACTTTCCTATCATTTATCTAAAAATAAAAAAAATTAAGTGGTTCTGAAATTATTCTCACCTTTGATCTATACATTTTGACCAGTTTTAGCCTCCGAAGAAAGTCTTCTTTCTCCTCAATCTGCTTCACCAATTTTGCTCTTTCTTCACTTAATCCTTGTTTTGGAAGATTCTCATTCACAAAGTCACTTTGGAGATCACTGCAAGACTCAGTATCAAGAGATTTAGATTCACATGCACTGATACTCTTGAAGGTATTTTTCAAATATGTACTTTCTTTGAATTCACCATCTATGTGTTTAAAACTTTCTTGAAGTTCCAAACAGTTTTCTTCTATTGAAGATGCTGGTTTCTCAGGAAAAGTCTGATCATTTTCTTCATTCTCTACTTTAAGACGTTTCACCACACTGTAACAGGAATTAAATGAAGATCTAGTTTTCCTCAATCGTTCTCTAAGTGTTGCACTCATAGGCTGAAAAAAGCACAAAACATTAATCAAGAAAAACATTCCTGTGTAAATAAATCTACTAGAATTAAAGACCTTATATTTCTTTAGTTGACACCACTAGATGGCTTTATATCTCCATATATCTAAAGTAACCATCACAAAATGTCTTTAATTTAATTTGTTCAGCAACTAGCACATTCCTGACACTACTGAGTGCTTCAGTTACAAATTAAGGAAAAGACCTAGATCCCTGCCACCAAAGACCTTCAGAATACTGCAGATTCAAACTTCCTCAGTTTGGAATTTTGTAGTAACCTTATCTGAAACTAAATGAAAATAACGGATTCAAGATGAAAATGGGGGGGTCAAACACCTTATCTTAGGATAAAGACCTAAAATTATTTAATAGTTCAATATCTACTTATTGATCTACACATTATGTTAATTGACAATTTTCGGTAGAATTATACCCACTACTGGCACAATACCTAGAAATACAGAATAGCTCCAGTGGAAGAACTAAAATATTCATACTTGTTTTCTTGTGCTACTTGTCCGGGGAGATGGTGGATTGGCGCAAGCCCGCGGAGTGCTAGGTAAAATCACACCTGAGTCGGATGGGTTTTCCATCTTGAAAATAAAATCTTGGTTTACCTCTAAAAATAAAAAATAAAAAAAAATCAGAATGTAGATAAAATTAACCCATCTCTATATATTGTTTTTGTAAACATAACTTTTTACTGTTGTACATGTAATCTCCACAAATAAGCCCGCAACAAGTTCACTTGGTTGTGATTCATTCTTGCTCTTTTGCAGTTTCCATTTACCTTCCTAAATAAGACTGTGTTGGTCCACATGGTGACTACTAGTTTTTTCAGGACAAATTAGCACCTCATCATTTTATCTATCAAAATATCCTCAAATCTGCCACATAGGGGGTGGGGAAAATAACAATTTTGTAATTCTCCAGGAATTCTTTAACTTCGTTACGCCAGCTTTATAATGAAAGGAAATACAAGTGAAATCTTGACTCGAAAAACAATCAGACCTGTCACAGTACCTTAAACCCTAAAAAGCTGTGTGACTAGAACCAATGCCCACTCAGGCCTGAGGAACGAGGAACCCAAGCCCATCTGTGCCGTTTAAGTAGCGAACAGACCCTGGAAAGGAGAGTTGGCTTAAGTCTGTTTCCTCAAACAAAGGCATCAACTTCAATGGGGGATGGGGGGGGAGTTCCTCCCACCTCTGCAGAAAACCCACACTAGCCCTCGAGAGACCCCAGGTCAGAGGAAGGTTTGAGAGGTCCCCTGACCGCAGAAAGGGAGCTCTACTCGACTCCACAACAGACACCCGAAGCAGCCCAACTCTCGGATATTCCCTCGCTACCCCACACTCTACCTCCCTCCGCCATCCCCAGAGTGCAGAAAACGCGCGCTGCCGCGGCGGGGCGGGGCCGCACGGGAGGCGGAAGAGAGGCGCGATTGGCCGGATTGACCGACGCGCGCAGCTCCGCGGGGCCCAGCGCCCTAGGGCGGCGGGACTGCGCGCTCGCGGCCTCGAGCGCCCGCGAGGAGGTGGTGGCTGAGCGGGGCTACGAGAAGTCCGCAGAGACGCCTGATTGGCCCGGTGGACTGACGCTCGCCGTTCTGCTCCGCCCAACGCCGGAGCTCTAGGGAGCTGTGCGCGCGCGTGCCCGCGAGTCTCTGCAGCGTTGGGGGAGAGCTGGGGTGTTTCCGAACGCCAGACGGACGAATTTTGAGGGAGCCGTGCTGCTTTTCGCGGCTTACCCCCCCGCCTTCTTGTCCTTGCCTTCCCTTCCAGCTTCCTTGTTTTTGTGTGTGTGAAGTACGCCTGGGCGTGCCCCTCCCCCGCCCCGCCGCCAGTCTCTGTCCTGGCTCACCACAGCCAACGTCAGTCCTCACACCTGGCGGGACCCGAAGCCGCAGAGCCGGCTGTGGGTTAAATTTACGGCCCTAAACTCTCCTAAGGCAGAGCCCCCAAAAGAGCAGCGCTGGATTAAGTGGCCTGTTGGGAATCAAACATGTTAGAAATCTCTCCAAGAGGCCCGGCGGATGATTGAGCTCATTTCCAGCTTTTTATGTCGCAAACGGCGGTTCTGTTACAGGTTTTCTACTGTATCTACCCCCAAATTTAGATTCTGTAGCTTGGCTTCAAATCTCCTGGTCAAATTTGAGAGAATGTAGCCCCTTTGGGCTACACAGAAAGCAGACCAATTACTAAATAAGATTGTGTTGGTCCAGAATTAAGATGTTCGAGGTAGATAAGGCCGTTGCTGAATACTGGACAGCAACTTCGTCTAAAATAATCCTAGGGGCGCCTGGGTGGCTCAGTTGGTTAAGCGACTGCCTTCGGCTCAGGTCATGATCCTGGAGTCCCGGGATCGAGTCCCGCAGCGGGCTCCCTGCTCAGCAGGGAGTCTGCTTCTCCCTCTGACCCTCCCCCCCCCATATGCGCGCGCTCTCTCTCTCTCTTTCTCTCTCTCGTTCTCTCAAGTAAATAAAATCTTTAAAAACAAAATAAAATAATTATGGGAGCGGGGGCGCTGGCTGGCTCAGTCGGAAGAGCCGTGACTTGATGGGGCCCGAGTTTGAGCCCCACCTTAGCTGTAGACATTAGGTTTGTTTTGTTTCTTTAAGATTTTATGTATTTATTTGAGGGAGAGAGAACACAAGTAGGCAGAGTAGCAGGCGGAGGGAGAAGGGAGGAAGCAGGCTCTCCGCTGAGCAGGGAGCCGGAAGTGGGGCTCAATCCCAAGACCCCAGGATCATGACCTGAGCCGAAGGCAGCCACTTAACTGACTGAGCCACCCAGGCGTCCCTGTAGAGATTAGTTTTAAAAATAAATAAAACATTTTTAAAAATCCTCACTTCCTGGTGGCGACGTTCTGTTGCTGTGCAACAGTAAAGTTAAATAAATTGGGTGGAGCACTGGGTTTGGGGAAAGACAAGTACTTAGTAATTTCTGAGTCACCTGGAAGTTGGGAATTTTAAGGAGCTGGTGTTTTCAACTTAATGGCCATTGTAAACGTTGATACTCTCTCTTTACAAACAACTAATATCTTAGAAGTGCCAGAACCCTGAGGAATTAACTGAGTCCTAAGCACCCAGTGCAGTGATTAAGGACATAAACCTTGGAGGCAAATTGCTTAGGTTCAAATCCTGACACCATTATTTTATATGCTTTGTAGTGTCTCTATGCCTGGGTTTCCTCATCTGTAAAATAGGGATAATAGTATCAACCTCCTGGCAATTGGAGGATTAAATTAGAATTCATGACAGGCAGGGAAAACAGCAAGAGATATTTAGGAAGCACTCAATAGTCGTTATTTTATATATGCAACTATATTCACCATTCGCTAATTGATATAAAGGTATGTGTCATAATTCTTTAATCCTTCCACTACCTCCCGAAAAAAAGCCAGATTTTTTAAAGATGCTGTAATCCATAAAACCCCACACAATTTAAGCCGTAAGTAGCAGAAAACTTGGTGCCTCCATATATAACTAATAATATATATTCCCCTTCTAAATTTTTTAAAAATTATATAAATTAACCTCAAGGAATTTACAAAATGAAAGAGAGAACTCATGATTTTCTGATACAAGTGTTATTCACCTCACCAAGCCACAGGTCTGTCTGTACATTTATTTCTCCCTTTACTCATCCACCGGCATCAGTTACTCACACTGAAAAGAGCAGAATGATTTGTCCTAACACCAGAAGCACAATGCAGACTCTGCATATTCCTTATACCTTGGGGCATAAGGTTGGGTTGTTTTTATGATTCTCTAAAATCAGCTGCTCCAAAATCCTTTTATCATGACGGCCCAAGCTTAGAGCTATGTTTTTGCTGGCTGCATAAAGGAAAACAACATCTTGCCTTGCAAATGTTCTGACTTGCTTATTATGTGAACTGCTATATGAAATGGGATTGTTTTGGCCAGATTTTCAAAGAACTTCAGAATAAGTATTCAGAAAAACCTGTATTTAGAAATGTGCATTTGTTGACCTACATCTCTGACTTCCATGTGTTGTTAGAACTGAATGATCTTCCCACATTTAAGGTTGTATTTTACTTACTCCAGTGACATCCCCAAGTGGAAACATAGCTTTCACTCTCAACTTGGTGTAAGGGATCTGCAATACCCAGCCCCCTTACAGTTTTCATTGTATCTTTAGATAAAGCCTAGCAAACATTTCCATGACTTTAGGTGCCCAAAATCAATTGGCTTGTAAGTAGTTTGTTGTTTGTGACACAGGACATTGTATGTTACTTGAAACTTTTCAGGGTGGGAAACATACTGCCCTAGAGAGCCAGAAGGCAAGGACTCCTTATTCTACCATAGAGAACAATTTGAACAATAGAATTCTATGATAATAGTAATTAATATTAACCTAAGGCAGGCTTTCCCTGTGTGTTTTTAAATTTCTCCAATACCCAAGGCTACTGTTAGCTACTTTGTTATTCATTAGGGAGTGGTAAATGTTTCTTCCCTTAGTCTGTGATTATTGTCAGTGGGATGATGACATAGGCCTAAAAATTTTTATGAGGCTTTTTTATTCTTTTTTAATAGCAATAAGAAAATAGTCTTTCTCTCTTTCTCCATACACACACACACACACACACACACACACACACACACGGTTAAGCCACAATTTAAAATTTCATTTCACTGGATTTATTTATTTTAAAATTCTTAACTGTAGCATTATTTTACAAATCTTAACTGTAATCTCAGGGTGACCTAAATTCCATTCCATTGACTTTTCTGTATTAATACAATTTTTATATCATGTAGATACACCTAGTATCCATAAATTTCTTTTAACAATTAAAAATATAAATTTTTAAAACCAGGATTAAAATCCAACTGGGTGAGGTATTGTATAAAATCCACATGATTAAGTTGATTTATAAGGTCCATTAGGGCAAGTTAAACAAAATTTAATACAAATTTATAACACTCACAAAAACTACTAAATTCTCTTAAGTGGCTTTCAATATTTCTTCTGACATTTGTATATAAGTTGAAAATCTTCAAAAACTCTCCTCTATGTTTCTCTTGCCATGAATTCAATTCTCATAGACCTATCCATGGTAAAGAAGATGTGTTTTAGTGCTGCCATTTTATAAATTTCCCTTTGAGTAACTGACAAACTATTTCTATTTCTTTTCTTTATTACCTAAAGATCTCCTATGGAATTCAATAATGTATAATTGATTGATTTGTAGAGACTGTTGAAGGCTTTTTTTTTTTATCAAAGTGTGACCTTTGTTGTTAAACTGCTTAATATTCTTTAGCCTAATTACAGATTTTATTTTCAACCTCAAGATGAAAGAGCCCTTGACTTAGCTACTAGGCATGCCTGAGAGGTTGCCTTACTGAGTAGGCTGGCTACTTGGAGTGTGAAGACATGGGGAGGGTCAATAGCATTAGTGTGATAAAAACTTGTCCACCATGTTTCAATAAAAGATTGCTGTCTTGTAATAGAAATGTTGTCCACTTCCCTTTTTCACACAGGTCTAGAGCAGTTAAAGGGAATATAATTTCTGTAGGCTCTCACATAAGTGTGAATTGGGCCAACAATTTCAGTTCATCCTTTAGTGAATTAGAGGACTGGGCTGCCCTGGATATATTTATATTCATATATTTATATTCTTCCACTCCCTTTAATGTTACTTAATCTCCTTTTTACCAAACTAATGTGAATAGTAGGGAAACAAGGGCCCAAATGCCTAAGTTTCTTTGTACTCTTGCACCATTCCACTCCTCAATACAAATAAACATTTAAAAAAAACAAAAACAAAACTTGTCCACCACAGGGCTACTAGAAAACTTACCTGGTAACTAATACTGAGGCTAATATACTGAACAAGAACCTAAAGAGCTCCTTTCACCTGGTATTCCTGTCCTTTTATTTTATCAGACCTGGCATTTTGTCAAGTCCACTAGAGACTAGAAGAGCAAGAGCATCTATGATTCATTGCTGTTACTGGGGTGTGTTCTCTTGGAGAAGAATAGAGTGATTCAGGTTAGATTAATAATGGTGAGGAAGGGGGTAGGTAGGGTGTGTGTGGGAGGGAGGGTCGTGGCAGAGGAGTTAGACTGTGGAAAGGTAATGGTAATAAAAGTATAGCTGAAGGCCACATCTTTCTCAGATCCTTTATTAACTCAAATGTCACTGCTGCGTTCATTTGGAGAAAAAAAGGCATTAGATGTCAGCAAATCCTTAAGCAACAGAACATGCCTTATAATCATCCTTAACTACCTGAAGTGTGAGAGATAACAACTCCCAAGATAATTTCACAGTATTGAAATCTGTTTGAAGAGCCTGCAAAGAAGTCAATGCAGTTTTCTACTCTTG